AATTGTGGAATTAACAAAATAAAAACAACATATATTTATATTGTGCATGACATTTAAGTTCAACCCTTAAAGTTGATCAAAAACGTTCACTTTAAAAGCAGTGTTGGGAGAAACTTAGATAATTTACTTAAGTAAAAGTGCAAATACTATTGTCTTAAAATACTCCACTACAGGTAAAAGTCCTGATTTAAAAATATGACTTAAGTAAAAGTACAAAAGTATTAGCATCAAACATTATAAGTACTCATTCTGCATTTCAGAATAATATAAGGTACTATTAGTATTGTCATCTAAATGTACTTGAGGTAATATTATCCTGTTTTTTTAATAAATAGAACAGCAATTTAGTATTGCACTTTGTAAATGTAGACCAAATGTACATACTTAAAATACTGTGTAGATTAGTGCTGTACTGCATTTGACCACATCAGCATATCATGTGCTTTTACATGCACGAAGTAACTGTGAGTTACAATATTTACCTCTGAATTATGAGGTGTAGAAGTATAAAGTAGCATTACATGGAAATACTCAAATAAAGTACAAGTATATCAAAAAAGTACTTAAGTAAATGTACTGGTGTATGTGATATTCCACCTCTGCCCCACGACCAAATGCAAGATTTCTTTCTTTCTTTCGTTGTCATAGTTGAAATTGAAAGGCACCGAAGTAGAAACACACAAGCAAAGCCCTAAGCCTATATATATATTAGATGTTATTGATGGATTAAGATAAAAAACAAACAACAAATTATATTAAAACGGGTATCTAACATAACACTCAAGGAAAACAAGTCTTTTAAAAGTCGGTATAGTCTTGTTTATTTTCTATACGCAGCTGTTTGATTACATATTTATTATAGAATTGAAACAACTGCTGAAAGCTTAAATTGATGTCCGCATTTATGCATCGATGAATATAAGTTGAAAATTCTGAAATGGGCCATTGTGCATAATGACGTCTTGACTTTAAGTATATTTCAAAGCTTATGCTCATAAAAAATGCACGACGTTCACTTGTATTGAGTATTCCTACACATTAGTCCTTGAATCTTTTACTTAAAGGTGGGGTAGGTAAGTTTGAGAAACCGGCTCGAGATACACTTTTTGTTATATTCCATGGAATGGCTCTTAACATCCGATAGCAATGAATATCTTAAGTGCTTTGACAAAAAAATCCATAAAATGTCATCTGTGAAAGCCGTAGTACTGTAAAAAGCACGACCAATTGTTTTAGCCGGCCCGGCTAAAATAACTGGATGGCCTACCTGCCTGTCAGCCTTCCATCGGGGCACAAACTTATCTCGTTGCCCTCATTGGTCATGTGCGCGTTCGTGTGTGTTGGAGGAGGGGCTCTGTAAGGATAGTGGCAGATTTTTTCCGGTTGTGTATTTTCAAATTCTAGCGATCTTCGAGCTGGTTTCTCCAAAATGACATACCCCACCTTTAACTTGAGGTAGCAGGACTGTCCTGCTACCTCAAGTTAAGTAAAAAGATTCAAGTTCTTCCTCCACCACCAACACAGACCTTTTTTCATCTTTTCAACAGATGGAAGTCTTTGTGAAATAATAAGCCAAATCTGGGCCAAAGAAAGAGAACTATCACCTGCAGTCATAAGATGTCAAGTACAACCTTCAGTGAGCCCACAATGGTTTCAAAGCTTTTTTGAATTAATTCTGTAAATGGGGGGGGAAGGTCAGTGGAAAAATACATTTTCTGCTTTTCCTTATTCTCACCGCTTCTTTTATCCCATGCTCTTTCAAGTTCCCCTGACTATTTCTTGAATGCCAAAAAGGAAACGTCTTCTCCGTCTGTTGTGCTTTGACCCTTTGACTCCCCTCACTTTGGGATGCCTGTGATGCTTTCCCCCCCGCTCTGAAATGAAGCGTATTCTTCTGCTCGCAGTAAGTCACTCTGGATGTGCATGTCGGCTTAAAATGTAAATGCCAATGTGCGTCTGCTTTTGTCAGCAGTGTTGAGGGATTTTCTCTAATTCAGCATGATATACAGGACTCATTTCTGCCCAGATTTGTCACTCACACGCCTCTTGGCTCTTAACTCTCCCCCTCTCTGTTCAGTGTTCATTCCCTTAATGTTAAAAAGACCCTACACTTTTCAACCACAATAGCTTTTGTCAGGGTTCTTACAGTCAAAACTGAACTGGGAACCGTGGCACAGTTATTCCCTTCTTCTCTTCACTTTGATGCCTTCAGCTCTTTGAAGCCACCAGGTCTCTTTCCTCTCCCACTGCACAGTGAAAAAAGTACATTTACTCAAGTACTGTACTGTATTTGAGTATTTTCCATTTGTTGCTACTTTGTACTACTACCCCACTACAATCCAAAGGTAAATCATGTACTCCACTACTTTATTGAATACCTTTAGTACTTTACAGATCTGGATTAATGATGAGAAATATAATCAACACTTAAATCAGACTTTAGTCTCCACCTGGAGTAAAGTCACAAGCTACCCTGCAGCATATAAAGTCATTACAACTAGCTGCCCTTTACCAGCTTTCAGAACACTTTAATGATCAATCATTATAAAACATATCATATATATTATTCTGAAATGGACCAATCTGCACAATGACTACTTTTACTTTTGGTACTTTAAGTATATGTTGATGCCGATACTTTTGTACTTGTACTTAACATTTTGAATGCAGGACTTTTACTTGTAACAGAGTATTCCTACACTCTGGTACTTCTACTTTTACTCAAGTACAAGATCAGAGTACTTCTCCAACCTCTGCACTACCACACTGAAATAACTGAAATGTTGACATGTACTTAAAGGGGACCTATCATGCAAAATGCACTTGTGTACGTCTTTTTATACATGAATATGTGTCCCCGGTGTTCCAGGGAACTCACCAAGTGTCAGAAAACACAACCCTCTCTATTTTCCTCCCTCCATACCCAAATCTCTAAAAAAGGGGCTGCAACGGATCTGATAAAAATTGATCCAGATTTGAAACACTGTCCTGACGTCAGGACGGTGGCGCTACGGCTATTGGGCCAACTCCACCAATCAGGAGGAGACAGCCACGGCCATTGCCGTTCGAAAGCGCTGTGGAGACGCTTGGTAGTACATATGCCAGGCCTGTAGATGGTGCTGTTCTCACAGAATCTGCCCTTGCAAAAATAGAGCTAAAAAAATGTCAAATTGAGCAAAATGAGGCATGGCTAAAATGCATGATCTGTTTGGTATTTTGAAAAAAAAAAAGTATAAATATGCCTTATATAGGTATGGTCCTACACTATATTATTCAAATATAGCATGGTAGGTCCACTTTAAGATTAATATGTCAACAGATTTTACAGCACTGTTCTAGGTTAGTTGAAAGCAATAATATAAAGTTAGGTTCAACATAGTATTAATTGCTTTCAACTAGCCTGATATCTACATCTACATTACCATCACTTCAGTCACATGCCTTTATCACATGCAATACTTATGTTGATGTATAATGTGTAATGTTTTTATAATTGTCATGCTATGACGTTTGTATTTTGTTTTTGTCTTTGCTTTGTACAGCCTTTGAGGCATTTCTTGTGATTTGGGGGCTATAATACATTTTGATTTGATTTGATTTCATACAGCTTTGTGACATTTGTTGACATAATACATTCAATTAAAGTCATTGTTTCAGTTTTTTTCAGTGCAGTAACTTCTCTCCGGCCTCACCTCGGAGACCCTCCCCGCCGCCGACAGGTTTTTATATAAATGGATCAGGACAAAAAGAGAGCATATCTTTTTTCCTGAAACGTTCAGAATCTCTTTACACAGACGGGACACATTGGTTATGTATAAAAGACATGAACAAGTGAATTTTGCACAATAGGTGACCTTTAAGTATATTGTGATCCTAATACTTTTGTACTCTTACTTAAGTAACATTTTGAATGCAGGACTTTTGCTTGTAACAGAGTATTCCTACACTTGTGTACTTGTACTTTTTCTGAAGTACAAGATCTGAGTACTCCTCCCCAACCGCTGCACTACACACTGAAAAAAACGGAAACGTTTACTTGAATTAAGTGTAATATGCAACTAATATGTCAACAGATATCATAACTGCTCTAGGTTAGTTGAAAGCAATATATTAAGTTGAAATAAAAAGGATTGGGTTAAACTTAACAGTATTGCCTTCATCTAACCTGATTTGTTTGACATATAACATTCAATTAAAGTAATCGTTTCTTTCAGTGCGAATCTTTTTTCCTGAAACGTCCAGAATCTCTTTACACAGAGGGGTTATACATATACAGGGGGTATACATGTTTATGTATAAAAGACATGAAAAAGTGGATTTTTTGCATAATAGGTGACCGTTAAAGTCAACGTTTCAGTTTTTTCTCCGGCCTCACCTCGGAGACCCTCCCCCACGCCGAGGGCCCAGGCCGTCCTTGGTCCACTGGACGATGCCGCTGTAGTTGAAGACCACGCAGGACAGCACCACCCGCTCCCCTAGCACCACCGACTGGTCCGCCGGCTCCTGAGAGAAGTGGATGCACCACGCTTGCAACAGAGGGACAGAGAGGGGAAATCAATGTTAACTTCTGCTCAGTGTCAGTGTGACCGGCCCTGAGCTGCCATCCTTTATTGCACCTTATCGAGCCACCACAGTCCCTCTCCGGGCTTATTGACTCGTGCTCGCTGTTGGGTTGAATTGTTCCGTGTCTTTATGGAGTTTTTATTGTCCTTTTTTTTATGATGTGTTTTTATTGTGAGTGGTTTTTAATGTAAACCCTGTCTGAGTGAAAGTTCTCTTACGGGAAAGTGAAGTTATGAATGGCTCTGTCTTCATTAATGTCAATATTAGATTAGAGTAGATAAGAATGACTTTAAAGCCCATTGTGGGAGTTTTTTCCCCGTCATAGCAGCATGTTAAAACAAGGCGTTGCAGATAATGTGAAAAATAAAGAGTAGAAAAATAAACAAACATAGCATTTAACATCTCAAAATAGAGAATAAAACTGAACTAAATGTAAA